ATCTCCACTTTCCGTTTCCCAAGATTTTGTGGGAATCCCAGAGAGGGAGGACTCAGTCTGTCTTAGAGAGCCCAGAAAGGCTTCACAGAGCAGAGTTCTCAAAGCATGAATAGGAGTGTCTTCTCGAGGCAAAAGATGATCGGCATCCCACCCAGTTCACGAACGAGTTACCAGACAGAAGGCTCCGGTGCCTATTTCTCTCATCACCTAATCCCATTACAAAGTGTGCCACACATGAGCCTGTGTCTCTCTCCACAGCCAGGGGAGTCCCTGGGGGCTTTGCACACACTGGGCATCCTGTCTACCATTCTGTCCCAGAGTATGAAGGTTTGAAAGGACCAGTTTGCAATCCCCTCTCTCTTTGTCTTCGTGCAAATGGGGAAGCATTACATTCTTATTGTGGATTATCACTGGTTCCAATGATGACCCCAGAGATGCCGACAATACTTCATAAATAGTCTGTTGATCCAAACCAAACTGAAGAAACTGTTCACTGGGTGGACATTACAGGAGATTCTGCAGCATTTGAGCTTTGCTTGAGTATAAGAATCCCACCAAGAGGAGCTTCTCTTCCCCTTTAAATGACATGCCACACCTCCAGAATGACACCTTGGAAATAAATCCTGTTTGAGTAATGTTTCTCTTGGACTCATAAAATCTTTATGGCCACCTTTCCTCATCTCCTAGACAGTAAGAAGGAAGAGAGAGCCGGAACTCCAGAGCAAGGGGTGGAGGATGCAGTCTCTTCCCCTATGTGGGTCACACACTTAATGCAAATAGCTTTAAAATGCAAATCCAATACTGACTACACATTAGCACCAAAAAAAAAAAATCCTAGCTCTGTCCAAAGTGCTGAATCTGTGAGTTCAGATCTCTTAATCTCTGATTAGAGAGTAGGTGGTGTGGAAATGTGCTCATTCGGATGGAAGGCTTGAATGTATTAAAAGACCCTGTAATAGCCATCTGAGTGATAAGAATGCAAACACTGGAAGAAGTAAAAACAGCAGCTTGGTGCCTCCCCCCAAATAAAAAGAGAAACCAGAAATTGGTAGACCTCATCTTCAACCCAGTGATGCAAAAAGGCAGTTGGGCCTCCAACACAATTGAGTACCTAAAAGACATACACTACCTAAAAGACATTGTACTAGGACATTAGAAATAGAAAATCATAATCTTTGGTCTCCATGGGGTCACGGTCCGTGCTTCTTAACCACTGACCAGCTGTTGACCGTGAGCAATATACTTAACTTTTTAAGCCTCAGATTTCTCATTTAAAAATTTGGGATAATGGGATCTCATGGGATAATTGTGCAGATTAAATAAGGTAACACTCGCAAGGCACTTTGCATAGAATTTAATATATTGAAAGCTCTCAGCGAATGTTACATATTAGCATTAGGTGTGATGGACGGTGCTGAGTTTATCTCATTAATTCTCTCATTTATTTTATACCAGGCTTGTTGAGTAGGTCCTAATATCTCCTTTACATGGGCGAGGAAAATGTAGCTCAGAAGAACAGGGTTAGGGAACCTGCCCAAGTTCATACGGTCAATGGGTCTCTACAGAATTCAAAGCCAGTTCTTTCCTCACCTAAAACCAGTGTTTGTGATTATGCTGGGGCTGGTTAGAGACAGACTGACAGCAACTCTGTCAACCATCCAAGGAAGTAAGGCAGTTTGAGAAGATAAAGTCTAAGGGTCCCAGGTGGGCATAGGAGTCAGGTGCTTGGGTGAATTTTAGATAGGGGATACTTGTGAATAAATAGAAAGAAGGAGGATAAATTCCAAACCTCAGGAGAATGGAGCCAAACCTAGTCATCCAGAGTTTCACCCTCCTCCAACCCAAGGAAGAACAAGAACAGGGGCCAGAGATTAGAGCTGATGGGTAAGGAGGAGACAGAGGGGCCATATTTAGGTGGGGTGGTTAACTAGGCTAAATCTCATGCCACCTTAGATGGGTGAGGGGCCCTGGGACACGGCAAGATGACCTGAAAATGGGCTAAGCAAAGGCTGGACCAAAGCTGGCCTCCCAGGAGCCAGAGTCCCCCACACTCCGTTTGGAACGCCCAGGTGGGAGAACCAGCGGCTATTGGAGTCTGTGCCCCGTGGAGCAGGGCCGGTGGGGGTTCTGAGTGACAACATGCGGCTACCTTGGTGGTAAGAATGTGCTTTTTGTTTGAGTCCGAAAGCCTGTGATTCAGCCCTACAGAGTCATATAAATATATATTCTCTTTTTTCCTCCCAGTAGGGAACATGGGGCTACATGGCACTGCTCCCCAGGGCTGTCCCATAAACAATGGCAGCCGTTTGGATTCCCTTGATTGAAATTGGAAAGGTCACATCTCAATTGTGTCTGCGGGGCTTGCTTTTTCCGTTTGTGACAATCCAGTGCTGTCCTGAGGCCTCCCTAAGGTACCTTTCCAGCTTTGACCTTCCATGGTATCTTTCAAACACAGGGTCCGGGCGGCCATCAATGGATCAATGAGGACCGTTCACAGAGCTGAGCTCCCTGGGCCTCTGTCTGCTGCTTTCAGCCCTTGCTGCCACTGTCAGATCCGTGGGGGGCACAGGTGGCTGTGCTGTGACATAACAATGGCTTCTGTGCAAGGCTTTGCTCAGTCCTTCTCCTCCACGCTGGGGAGGTCAGTGGCAGCCGTGCCCAACACACCAGCAGCTCTGGGGAGGCCCATGTTGCCTTCTGATCACAGTCAGCAGGGGTCTCTGGAAGGGCCCGCCCCCGCGCTGAGTTCAGATCTCTACCCATTGGCTGGGATGGAATGTTCTGGAAGCAACTCTCAGGTACCCTTTTCTCTGCTTATTAATCAGTACACATGGTCCCACTAGCCCTTCTAGCTCTGGTGTCTTTGGTGACTCCATTTCTACATCTCTTATTTAAATTATCAAGCAGGAGAATCAGACCCGCTCTGTCTTTAGTCAAGGGTCTGCTCTTTCTGCAGTCAGCTGGCCAACAAGGCCCTTGGCCTTGTGATAGGGTAGGCGAGCAGAGCAGTCCCCAGAAGAGGGCAGGCAGCCCAAGCTGTACCTCTAAGTTGGTCTCACCTCTGTCTCTTCTCATTGGTCTCCCTCAGGAGGCAATGGGGGAAATCACTCTTTTCAACCAGCTCCTTAAGCTAAACCAAATTACGCAGACCAAAGGCCCTGGCACGCCGTGGAGAGAACTCGAGAGTAATTCCGGATGTCCTCACCACTCCAGTATTGTCTGTCTGGCTTGCAGTCTGCAAAAAGGGAGCTCAGTAAATACCAGGGATTACTGTGATTATTATGAATCCTCTAAGTAGCTAAATTCCCCAAATTCTCAGAGCTGTAATGCCTTGGGATTTGGAGATGTAATTAAGAACAGATGAGCCTCCAAGAGGTTGATGGTGATGATCTGGAATCGCATCAAACGGCACAGAGAATGTTGTTGTGAGTTCCGGGCCTTGGGCGCCCCCTGGTGGCGGTGGAGTGAGGACTGGAGGTGGGGTAGTCAGAGGCCCAGGCATCCCCCTCCATCCAGGCTCCAGGGACTTGGGAGGCCACCCACGAGCCCACTCAGCAGGCTGTCGAGAGGCAAAGCTGTGCGTCAAGGCTACTTGTGACAGCTCTGCGCTGTTTCAGGAGGGAAGGAAACCGGCCAAGTCTGACCCATCTCCTCTTGGCAGCCACCTACCTTCCGCCCCCACGTGGGTCTTGCCAGCAGAGGGCTGTGCTGCAGCGTTGGGTCACCCCCCCCCCCACCTCCGCCTTCCTTAGTTTCTACTCATTTTCCAATGTTTTCCTCTGACTTTAGAGCTTACTGGAAGGAGCGGAAATACCAACAAGGCAATAGTACGTTTTATTTGATCTATCCACGGCAGCGACCTGAATCTATATGATCTGTCAGGCCAAGAATGTTTTTGACCTTCTGAAAGGAAATGAATGCTCTCCCAACCAGAGCCAAGCAAGCAGCTTAGAACTAGCCACAAGCAGGAGTCTGGGGCCTGGGGAGTTCCTGGGCATTCAATCTCCATCAAAATATGACTTGAAGCTCATGATTTAGGGCAGCACCGGAGGGAAGGGGCCCCATAATTACCACGAGAAGCAGTAGTGTGAGGGTGCTGTAGCCAGAACGCCCCATGTCTGCTACTTGGTTGGCTGTGCGGCCTCAGACCAGTTGCTTAACCTCTCTGTGCCACCATTGTCTCACCTTTGTGCTAGAGGTGATAGCAGAATCTTTCTCATGGGGTCACTACATTAGATGAATTAGTCATGGGAGGTACTTAGAGCTGTCTGTCATGCCATAGGTGCTCAGAGTGGTATCTTGTCCCCAGGTATTGCTTAGGTTCTTTCTGCTACATCTCCTTGTTTTATCCTCACAGAAGCCTGGGAAGCAGGTTTTTGTGTTTCTATTATGCAGAAGATACCGAGTTTCTGATGTTTATTGAATTGCTCAGGGTCACAAGGCTAGAAATCGGCAGGGGCAGATTCCTTCGTGGAGATCTCTGACTGCAAATCCTGTATTCTTTCTTATTTTCCCCTGTGACACTGCCCCTCATGGTCAGCCCTGCTGCCACCATCATGGCCCATCCCTACCTGTCCCCCATGGGCCCCTGGAGCCCACGGGAGTTTTGGTGGCTCTGGAATCTCAGCATGGCTTCCTATCTGTGACAACCTGGACAAGTTCCTTGATCTCTCTGAGCTTCGATTCCTTTGGTTTCTGTAAATTGGCCCAAGAAACTAAGAAAGGGAACAACAGCGACGCTGAGTGTCGGGATCCCGGTGGCAGGAGCAGGCCGTGTGCCGCCAGGGGCTGCCCTGCACCCACACCCAGGCCTTGGGCTTCTCTGGGTGACCATAAATAATTCACAGAATGTCAACGCCAGGCGAGGCCACTCTGTGACCATGATGGATTAAGACAAAAACAAGACCACTTCCAAATCATGTCTGAACCCAGACAAAACAAGAACATTATCCAAAACACAAAAATACCCAGCCGCCCCTCCCTTCCCATTCCCACTGACATCACAGAAGGCTGTTCCTTTGCCCGTTGTGACTCTAGTCCTGTTGGATCCCCCACCCCACCTTCTAGATTGAACGCACTAAATTCCCATTTGTAGGATCAGACCTGCCATCCGGGGCCACCAATCTCCACCAGAGCCCTGCTTCCTTGAACCTGTCCCCAAACCACCTGACACACCCTGGTCCTGACCCACAGTGAGTTCTTCCCGGTGCTCTCCTTAGTGGGACACTCAGCATTCCCTGTGTCCTTGGGACCCCCCCTCACTGCCACCAGCCAATAAACCTCAGTTTGTTTGGCTCCAGGTGGGTTCCTGGTGTTCTTTGGCTGGGGAGGGAGGGACATTGATTTTGCCTCCAAAATGAAACGTTATGATATCTAGAAGGCACTTCCAAGTGGGGCCTGGTACGTAGCAAGTGCCCAGTGCATTTGAGTAAATAGCATTTATATTTATTTCAAAACGCACCTTCCCCTGTGGGCAGAGCTGAACTGTCCCTGAGCAGCCCGTGTCGTCTTTGAAGTCCTCGCAGACACCCTCTGATGCTCACCCTGGCGTCACCTCTCGCTGCCTTCCTCGGACCTTTGCCCCTCCCCCGCCTGCGGACCTCAAACCTATGAAAGCCCCTTTTACCCAGGACCCACGGGTCTGCCCTGTCCCATGGAGGGCATCCTCGGAGGATGCTCCGGCAACACAGAGGAGTGGTGCAGGCTAACAGTGGCCGGATCCTCTGCAGTGGCCCCCTTCCGGCTCCCTGGCCGAGCAAGGGGTCTACAAATGGAAACTCCCTCGCCCCCTGGCCAGCTGCATCGGTGTGGGTCCATCCCAGGGACCCCAAGGTCCTTCCAAGCCCATGGCTGCTAATTGCAGATAATGCATTAAAAATACAGATCCGCATCTGTTCGCTTGAACACGGGTGTTGGGGAATTTCTGTGATTTGTAATGACAGGGTGTGAGGAGAGCAAAGTGCTCGTTGTGCCTGGGAGCCAGGCGCTGCTGCCAGCCAGGAGCTGGAGGCGTGGTTTGGGGTGAGCATCAAACTCCTGGGCTCCAGCCAAGCCTTTCTGCACAGGCACCAAGAGGCGGGTCCAGGCTGGAAACACCTAACTAGGTAACCAGTGGAGCATAGAACAGGGTCCAGTCCAGGGAGAACTCAGGCCCCAATCTGGTGTCTGCAAAGAGGTCCTGACAGGAGGGGGACCGGCCTCTGCCAGGCAAAGGTCAGGAGGAAAAAAGCGTCTCTCGTGGGTCAAGTGTTCATTTCCCAGCAACCATGAGAGTCCAGTTCCTTGTCTGCAACATAGGGTGTTCAAATTAACTACTGGCTGGGGTGTAGCTCAATGGTAGAGCATTTGCCTAGCATGGGCGAGGCCCTGGGTTGGATCCCCAGTAACTCACAAACAAGGCAGCAAATAAAAGTACCTACCTCTTAGTTTTATTTTTTTTTAATTAAGGTAGTTATATTAAATTGCTTCAAACAGAGTGGGGCACAGCATAGTAGGCACTCAAGGAAAGTTTGCTATTGTATAAATTATTTTACTCTGTGAAATATTGCATTAGATTCTAGGATACTGAGATGATTGAAGGCGAGGTTCTTGCCCTCCCCCACCAGCTGCAGAGACAGTCAGTGGTCACCATGTGCTACACATTGACCTTATGTGTGGACTTACAGATATTTGGTTTTGCATAACCTGTTGAGAGGGCCCAGGCTGGGGTGGGAAGGTCAAAGAGCTTCCTGGACAAAGGGATACTTGAAACCTGAGCATAGACAGGATGATCTTGGCCTGAAATAGCATATTCAAAGGCCGTGGGGCTCTAGGAGAGAACAGAGAGTGTCTCTGGAGGAAATACAGTATAGCTAGACTTTGGGGTGGGGGTATTAGGCGTCTACTTCCATGTCACAAGTTGCCACAAAACTTAGTGGCATGAAACAACATTTCTTTTTTTTTTCTTTTTTTTTAATTAGTTCTTCAAAACAGTACAAAGCTCTTGACATATTTCATACATTTGATTCAAATGGATTATATGCTAGTATGTAAAAAAGTGGATGTGTAACTGATGTGAAACAACATTTCTTATCTCATATTTTCTGTGAGCCAGCCATTAGGTGTGGCTCAGTTGGGTTCTCTGGCTTTGAATTTCTCATAAGGCTGCGTTCAAAGTGTGCACCAGGGCTGTGGTCACTTAACAGGTGAAAGGATTGCTTCCAACCTCACCCACACAGTTGTTTGCATGGCTTAACCCCTCGGTGCTGTTGATTGGGGACCACCCTCAGTTCCCTTCCATGGGGCAGCTTTTTAGCCCAGCCATTTGCTGTATGAGAACAAGCCAGAGAGAATGAGACACAGGTCATAGCCTTTCGTGACCTAATATCAGAGGTGACATCCTTTCCCAGCACATTTGCTGTGTTCTGTCCCCTAGAAACAAGTTGCTATTTCTAGCCCACACAGAGACAGAGGATTGCACTGGGCATGGATACCAGAGAATGGGGCCCATTTAGTTATTTTTGAATCTGCTCACCACCACCTGCACCCTGGTTCTCAATGATTGTGGCCTCTTCCACCTACAACTCACCTTCACTCCTTCCCAAGGCCTCTAGAGATCTCATTTCTTGACAGCATCACATGCAAGTCCAGACTTTCAACATCTGAAGCAGGTCCAGATGTGGATGAAGCTCTTGGATGTGCCTCCTAAGTGGGGGCTCCAGAAAACTCTCTCTCTGGATTTGGTGACTTGGCAACCAGAGATACATTACCTGTCTTCAGGTACTCAACCTACAATCGTAGGACAGACAGAGGGTAATGGGTACTGACACTCCTGGCCACGAAGGGGAAAATGTGATTCACGAAGTCATTGGTCCGTAACAATTTTGAAATCCAGCCAGAAAAGTTTTTTTGCAAGTTTCTTGATGAGGTTTCAAAGTCAGGGACTAATTCTCTGTGACTCTTAATTCCACCTTGTAAGCTCTGGTTCCCTCCCTCTGAGTTGCCCTTCCCTTCTCATGAAAGTGTTTGAAGCTGACATGGTTCCTCAGCTTCCTGCCAGGACTCCTGTGTCCGACGCCCCTTTTCATCTTGTGCTCTCTCCCTCTGTTCCTTTCGATCGCAGCCTGCAGTGTTTCTTCTGCTGATGGTTTTCTCAAAAACATTGTTGGTCTCCTGTAAATCTCATTGAGAGTCCCACTCTGCACAGGCCACACCCACAAATTTGTTTAGATTACACTCTTTCCTGACCTAGGCCTCCTGTGAAGGGGACCAGGACAGAGCTCTTTTTCTTCCCGGCCTCCCTGTGGTTTGATCATGAAGAATTGCTCAGGCCCACCTTGATCTCTTTAGAGTCCTTCCTGTGGCAGACAACACACGACACTCCTTTGATCTTCCTGCAAACCTCAACCAAAGGCTACACAGTCACACCTTCGGCGCTGTCTTCGGACCGATTCTTATCAGCATCAGAGCCATTTTTTTCATTTTAGCATCCTTTGCTATCTCCGAGGACTGAGAACTTTCAAAACTAGCAAATCCTGGCGTCTTTCTGCCGGACAGCGATTCTTGTCTTCTCATATCAACACCCAGAAGAAATCCACTTTGCTCGCGTTCTGTCGCTAGATTCCTAAGTGTGTCTGGCCCATGTTTCTCCAAGTGCAGACAACATTGTCACCAAGCTTCCTGACCACATAGCAAGGACCCTGTTCCTCCGGTTTCCAATGACATGTTCTTCATTGCCTTCGAGCCTCCACCAGAAGCATCTTCAAAGTTGGGATTTCTGTGAGTGATGCCTTTGAGGAAAGGGGGGGAATTTCTCAAACCTCAGGGTACCCCCAGCCTCTGACTGTCACCTCCTCCTAAAGCCATCTCCCATTTTTAGGTGTCTATCATGACGCCATCTTTCTCTGGATACCAAAGTCTACGTGCACCCCCTCTTCCAGTTTGTAACAAATCCCACCAAGCCTTAGTAGTGACATGAGACAACATGGCTTGGTTTCCGTGTGTTGGGAATGAGGTGTGTCTTAGCTGAGTCTGTGACACGGCTGTGGCCCAGGTGTCCCCTGGGGGCTGTGGGAACCTCAAGGCTCACCTAGGGAGGGGTCCGCAGCCAAGCTCCCTTGGGGTATTGGCAGGATCCCGAGCCTCGCACGCTGCAGGACTGTGGGCCACGGTGCTCACGAGGGTTGGCCAGAAGCCACTCTCGGGTCCTTGTCACACGAATCTCTCCATAGGACGGCTGTCCACATGTCAGTTTGCTGCCAGCAGGTGTGCGAGAAAAGCCACAGGCTTCCGCAGCCTAGGATCCAAAGTGACCCCCCCACACACACACACGTTTGCCCTGTTCTACTCATGAGAACCCAGTCTCTGGGTCCTTTCAGGGACAGGAGTGCGCCAGGGTGTAACTGCCAGGAGATGAGGACGCTGGGAACATTCCAGAAGCTTGTGTGTGACCGGTGAGGCCTCGATGGCCTGATTATGGCACGTCAGACCCCCAGAGGTGAAGAGCCCCCACTGGAGCATTTCACTGTCCGGCGGAGACTCGGAGAAACACACTCAGCCTGGGCAGGGTGGGCTATCGCTCAGCAACCGCGACAGGGGCTGGCTGGTAACAGTCCGTGCACATTGGGTCACCGGTACCCAACCCAGAGGTCAGGGTCAGCTCTGACCCGTGTCCGTCTCCACTGGGCCTTTAGCCTCGATCTTTCTCCTGCTGAAACTCCCTTTCTGGATTTTTCTCACCTGCTCTCAAGCATCCTTCAGAGACCAGGGCAGGCCCCACCTTCCTGTGATGTTTTTCTACACCAGATTCCGTTTGTAACGAAGTCCCTGCCGGTGACTTGTTCTGGGCACGCCTGAAGGGCAGGCATTGTTTGTGGGAGGTCACGTGACAGGGGCGCCATGCCTTTGTGACCTCATCCTGGTGACCTCACCCTCTACCCAGACCTGACCTCCAGTCTTTGGAGGGAACAGATCCTTTTTGCCCCCGAGCAATTGATGTTTTTCAGCGGAGGCTAAATCCAAGATCCCAAAGTGACCGCGCCACCCAGATGCCATTGGATTGTTTTGCAACTGGGATCAACGTCTCTGTTGGGATTTGAGGGAAACCCAATCGATAAAATATACTTATTTCCCTCTCAAGCGCGGAATCCATTGGCAGACGCAGGAGAAAGCCAGGGGAGGATCAGCGTGTCACCTTTATGGCTGATGAACTGATTGGAAGGTAGATCTGAATACACTCTGCAGCTAAGGACAGAGAGGGAAAGAGCACGAGAGAGGACAGAGAGAGGGTGCGGGGAGTGACGGAGCCCCGTCAGCTCCTGCTGAGCTCACAAGCAGCCTCCTCTGGGAGTGCACAAGGGACTGCGAGAGGGAGAAGGGTCCTCTGGTCCTGGGACCTTCCAGTGTCACCTGGAAGTGTCTGGTCCAACTCTCAGAAGTGCTGCTGCAAACTTGGGGCAGGGGGTCCCTCTGAGTTCTAACACATCCTCCGGGTTAGCTAGTCATTAGGTCTGGTGGAAGTTGCCCCCCATGGCTGAAACTTCTCTGTGACTCCTGTTGCCCTTAGGTTCCCAAACGAATCCTTTGCCAAGGCCTGCACCTGTCCAAGGGCATCTCACCAATGCTCCCACTTCTGTCCCTCTCATATGCCACCCCTTCCCAGGACTCCTATACAAAGCCCCAGGACCTTTGCACTTGCTCCCCTGCTGATGGAAGGGCTCTTCCTCAGACTTCTGGCTCCTTGTCCTGTAAGTCTAAACCCAAACATCGTCCCACAGAGAGCCTCTGCCTGCCCATCCCGAGTGCCCTCCAGTTTTCCTCTCATTGATTTTCTTCAGAGTGCTTGAAGAAAGTCCAAAAATTGATCTGATGTGTTTATTCATTGACTTCTTTGTTGTCTCTCCTTCCCTCCCTGGAATGCGGGGATCAGGGACCTTGCTGTATCCCTAGCACCAGAGCAGTCGCTGGTTTGTTGCTGGCATAAAATTTACATAAATATTTATTGAATGCATACATCAATTCATGACTGCGTGAACACAGGAGAGAAGGATTAGACTGGAGGGATTTGATCATCAAGGTGACAGTGGGCCCAGAGGCTCTCCCTCCTTTTCCAAAAATCAGGGTCCCCGTGCCCAGCTGAGTAGACCTGGAAAGCCAGCCCTGCTCCGGATTCCCTGCCTGATTTCCCTCTTCCCCATGACTCTCAGGACCTTGTGGTCATTAGGGGCTGGCCGACTCCCACCCTCCCCTCCTCTTCTCTATAAAGAACTATTATGGACTTGATTTCCAGCAGGGGGCGCTACACATGGTCATCAGAATTCTGACTTAGTCCCCCACATTCCCATAATTCATCACACAGGAAACCAGAGAGCACTGGCCCCAGGGCTCTTTCTAGAGAGGAGTGGTGCAGCCCCAGCTGCTGCCCACCAAGGGCCCACAGTTCCGATGGAAAACAAGACAGCCCGCGGGAACCACTGCATAGTGACAGGGTCTAGTTAGCACTGTGGTGTTGGGGGGACCTTCAAGGAAGGGAAACTAAAGGGGTCGGGTAGAGACTAGAGGGAGAATGGAGGAAGCTGGGTTTATGGAACAATGTATTAGTCACCTATTGCTGTGTAACAAGTTGCCACAAACCTAGTGGGCTAAATGTGAGGGGGAAAGGTACAGTCATACATGCTGGTGGGACTGCAGATTGGTGCAACCACTCTGGAAAGGATTACAGAGATACCTCAGAAACCTTGGAATGGAGTCACCATTTGTCCTAACTATCCCACTCCTCGGTCTATACCCAAAATCAGCTTACTACAGTGACACAGTCACATCAATGTTTATAGCAGCTCACTTCACAATAGCCAAACTATGGAATCAACTTAGATGCCCTTCAACAGGTGAATGGATAAAGAAAATGTGCTACATATACATAATGAAATATTACTCAGCCTTAAAGTTGAAGAAATTATGGCATGTGCAGGCAAATGGATAGAGCTGGAGAATCTCATGCTAAGCAAAATAATTCAATCCCCAAAAGGCAAAGACTGAATGTTTTCTCTGACAGGCGAATGCTAATTCACAATAAGAGGGGCAGGGTGGCTAGGGAAAAATAGAGGAACTTTGGATTAGGCAGAGGGCAGTGAGGGGACAAGAGGGCATATGGGATTAGGGAGGATAATAGAATGAATTAGACATTATTACCCTGTGGACATACATGACTACACAACCAGTGTGATTCTACATCATGTACAACCAGAAGAATGAGAAGTTATACTCCATTTATGTATGATGTATCAAAATACATTCTACTGTCATGTATAACTTATTAGAATTTTTAAAAATATCTGCTTATATTGTTTAAACATTTACATGTGTAAACATATACAGCTTCTGCAGGTCAGAGGTCCAGTAACAGCTGGATTCAGCTGCAAACAAGGTGTCCAATAGGACTGGGTTCTCAGCTGGTGGCTCAACTGGGGCAGGATCCATGCCCCATTTGTGTGGTTGCTGCAGCATCTAGAATTCTGGCCGTTGCAGGGCTGAGTGCTTCTTCATTTTTTTTCTTTTTCTTTTTTTTTTCCCCTGGATGTAGACCTGAGGCTGCCTTTGGCTGCTAGAGATTCGTCCCTGCAATTTCTTGCTACGTGGGTTTCCTAAAGTCAGCTGCTTATTTCACTGAACCACAAGGAGAATCTCTGGGCAGACTGGCTAGTGAGATGGGGTATTACATACCATTACATAACCAGGGAAGTGACATCCCTCTCCTTTGCTAGGCTCTATTGATTAAAAGTTAGGTGAAAAGTTCTGCCCACATTTAATGGGAAGGGGTCAAACAATGGTGTAGACACCAGATGGGGGAATCATGGAACTGCCACCCTAGAGGGTATCAACCACGGTACCTATCAGGTGTTCAGGACTGTGCCAAATACGCTTACATATTCACCAAAATGGCCTGCAAGGCAGGTGTCATCCCATTGCACAGATGAGAAGCTAAAGTCTCAGAGCAATGCACATTGGCCCAAGGTCCTGCCAGTGTGAAGACTGGAACAAACATCAAGTGAACTTGGGCCCAGTTGAGACCAAAGGCTCAGCATCCTTGTAGTGGGGAGCAGAGGCCTGAGAGAGGAAGGGCAGGGAGTAGCTAGAGGAGGGCTAGAGTGCCCCAGGAGACCTGAGACCACAGGAAACGAAGGGGGTAAAGTGCATTTTGAGAAAGAAAACAGAGCACTTAAGTCTGATGATCTCTATTTACTCAATGAAGCAGAAAATGAGGGTGTCTCCTGAGAGGGTGGAGGATGGGCTGGAGGGGAAGCAGAACTGAGTTGGCACAGCAGTTGGGGGGTGATGGGGAGCGAGAGCTTTGCCAGCCCAGGACACATTGCCAAGAGAGTAGGCTGCTTCTGCCGTGGAGACTTCAGGGTGGGGTCAGGAGTGGTCCCCACTCCCTCCCAGCATTCACTCTCCTCGTTGTGCCTTGGAGTGCTGTGATTCAGGCCAAGTCCATCTCTGTCACTGGAAGGAAAGTTCTCGCAGGACAGGGACCTAACAGCAGTCCACGTGGCGCCTCCCCATGCCCAACACGGGACCTGGCACTTGAGAAGCCTCCCTAACCAGCCTGATTCCAGACAATAAATTTCTAAATCGTTCTTGTTTTACCTCTCATCCCTTATGGCTCACGCAATTCTAAAAGACATTTTGAAACTATGTATTTTTACTTTTATTTTGGAAGTCAATGTTCAAACGGTGCCGTGGAGTAGAAAGTGGGGTTAGGCATGGCATCCGGGAAGTATGCCACATACCTAACTCGGGGACAGAAAATCAGCTCAGCATCTGAGACCGGCCTTTGTGATATCAGGAAGTCAAAAGAACCATTTCACAATATTCTGTTTCAATCTACTTTGATTGGAATGAAACGTTACCCACAGTGTATTGTGGCCTGGGGAAAAAAAAAATCCAGTTACTCTTCAGACACTTGTAGTACCATCCTGCTCCCGTCAAATTACCGTCAAGAAGCAGAAAACCTAACTCATGCCATCCTAGGTTCAAAAGAGAGAAACATTCAGTTGCATCTTAAGGGTCATGTCCAGGAGGATCGATGCCTAGAGGCTCCACTATTTTGTCCTTGGTCTTAGGCTATTGGGTGGCAATTTGCTGGCAGCTGGCAGCATCTCTGGGAGCACCACCCTTCCCAGGACTCCTATACAAAGCCCTAGATCTGCTCTAATCGGGTCAGCTTGGGTCATATGCCCATGAGTCAGTGTGGCCAGAGTGATTCAGTCCTCTCATCAAGCCTTGGTCCCAGAAGGGAGTCACAAAAGGGAGTTGGGGTGCTGTGTGTGATGGAGAGGAGGAGTGGGCGCCAGGGGATTATATATTCAACATGCTCCGGGTCTGGGAGCTGTAGTCAGGGACCTCATTTTATTTTGCCCAATCAGCCTCTCTTGGGTTGGTGGTATAGTGGTGAGCATAGCTGCCTTCCAATCAGCCTCTCTTCTCATCCTAACTAGGGACACCCCTGGGGTTTCATCCTGGCCCACTAAGGGAAGCTAAGTCTTGTTGGAGACTTGGTATCCAGAAGGACTGGAGGAACCCTGGGTCTGAAGTCCAGCTGCCTAACCTTTGCTGGACTTGGTGCCACCATGGGGTGCACTCCTGTTGACAGTCTTGTCATGTTTCTCTGATGGGACCTGGAGTGGAACCATGAGCTGTGCTCCAGCCTGTCACCCCCACCACCAGAGCTGGGTCTGGTCGTCTTCCCACACTTGACCCCGACCCAGTGGGAACCTGGGGCTCTTGCCTCGTGACTCTGACCTTCACATCTCTGCTCCACGTCATTTACACATTGCTGCCACCTGTTCTCCAAGCCACCGCCCAGCCCCCACCCCCCAGTCCCAACCTCTCTCCAAAGCCACTCAATTCCCCAACACAAGTGGGAACAGCTATTCAAACACCACTCATGAGACCAGGGCCAGGAAGGTAGAGTTCAATGGCACTTTATTTTTTTGGACTGGATGTATCCGTTTTTCCCAACTCAGGTTTGCCTTTCTGCTGGTTCTTAGCCAGGATTTTCTTCATGCCACGGTTTTGCTTCCGATAGACTTCAAGCTCCTCAAAGTACTTCACTCTCAAGAGAGCTGCTTTCTGTTCATATGGCTGCTTTCCCATCTCTGTTGCTGTAGACCACATCTTCCCACTGGCCTTTGCTACCTGCACCACTGACCAGGTGGGGTTCTCCCTCATGAGCTGGGAATAGTGATCTTGGCAGAAGAGCAGGAAGGATGATGGAGGTCGTCTGGGGGCCAGGGGGTCCCGTTTTCTACGTTTTTTCTTCTTGCCAACGAAGTGCAACATTTCTTCCTGATAGCGGGCTTTGTCGAGCTTGGCCAGGGCTTCATATTTGGCCTTTTCATGCTTTGAGATGGATCTCCATTTTTCTGAACACTTTTTAGAGAACTCTTTAAAACCAAGGTAGATATTTGGCTGCTGTTCCTTGAATTTGTTTCTGTAATTCAACAAAAAGTGGATGTAGGAAGAGACGTTCACCTTGGGCTTCAGCTGGACTTCTTTTCCCATGTTCACAAGATCATGCTTTTTTCTGGTTTCAGTACCTTGGACAGCAGAGACTTTTGCGGGCACATCCAGGAGCAATATACAGGGTGCTCCCCTTGTGGTGATTTTTTTTCTCTCTGGGAAGAGCTGCAGTCCCAGGTTGGCCTTTTCAGTGGTGGTCCTATTGTTGGGTCAGAGGAAGAGAATTGTGACGTCACTCGCAAGCGGGCCAATCCTGGCCCGCACTTGCGTGCATTTGCATACACGGGCTCTGATTGGTTGGTTCCACAAGGGTCATTTTTCATCTCTCCAGAGCGATTGATGGTTTATCCAAAGCAAGGGATGGAGCTGCGGATTCCTCTGGGAACAATCCTCCTTGGCTTCCTGGAGGCAGAGGGTTTTTCCTTTGCTTTGAGGGCTTTAAATCTCTTGGGTGTAGTAACCAGGGTCTGCCTCCCTCACTGTAAGAGTGTCAGGATGCCGCATCATCCCTTCCAAAGACGGGCTGGAAATAATGAACAGGAGGGGGTGGACGGCCCCCGAGCTGTCATGATAAAATGTGAAGTCTTTCTGTTTGCCTTGAACAGTGGCAGCTCCTGCTGTACAAAGGGTTTAGTAGTAACTCTAAAAATAATCGGCTATGACAGGTGTGACTCTGTTCCTGTCAGGACAAAGTTGTCTAATTTAAAACCTGAGCACTCCGGCTATGAGTCTGAACTCTTCATTTCTCTGAAGAAATTTGAGGGGAAAGAGGGAGGAGAAACTTGTGGTTTTATTAATTACCCTCAAGTCCATGAGAATGCAGTAGCATTCTTGACACCTCGGAAGCCTCCCCACGGTCCCAGGCAGGGTCCCCCCCCCAACCCCCGTTCCTTATCATTAGAGCACAAAGCTCTAACTGCCACACTCAAACTAGTTGGCTTCTGTCTTTTTAAAGAATATTTCAGGAAGCTTCCAGTTGGAAGAAAAAGACAAGAAAAGTGTTGTTTGCTGACCTTCAGACCCTGCTCTGTACTTGCTTACTGTGGAATTGGATTTAATACAACTCTGTGGTTGGTGATAGTGTCATATTTATAGGATGAGAAAACTGAGTTTCATTGACATGAGAAATAACAAGTTCAAGGTCAAGACAGCTATTAACAGCTGGGAGTGTGGATTTTGACTGGCACTGTCTATCAAGCCTATGCTTCATCCTGCCTGCCCAGAGCTGTATCCTGGGGGTCCAGGGTCCAGATATGTGGTCTCCGCTGCCGAACCTGACAAGGAAACTTGCCTACAACCACATTACAATTTGCATTTTTGCCAAATCCATTCTTAGGACTCTATGATTAATTTCAATTTTTTGGCCTCCATTTGAAAAAAAAAAAAAGATAGAAAATGATTGGAGTCCCCAGTCTTGAATTCTGGCCCCAGTTCTGCTGCAGGTGATCATGCTGCCTAAGCCATGCCCTTCCTCCCTGTGAGCCTAGGTTTCTCATAAACTAAGCTTTTGAACTCACCAGGGAAGCTCCTCCAGATGACATGCTACAGTTTTGTCATCTCAGACGCCAGTGGAGGAAATCTGCATGTGTGTATGTGTGTGTTGGCATCAGGGGTAGAGAGTGGGGATCTGGCCAATAAAGCAGATTTTTCTGGGGATATTTACCAGCCTGGTTAGCTTTTTTCACTCTTCTTCTTTCTCCCAAGGGGCCAGAGACCGGCTCACCTGTTTGTTGGGCTTGAGCTGGCTGCAGAGATAAATGGGATTCTTCCTGAAATCCAAAGATGGGACGTGAGGCAGAACTTTAGCTAAAGTTGACACAGATTAATCAGACTGCTTAGGCACGTATACACATATGCACATGCAGGCATGCGTGTGCATGTGCACGCGCACACGTGCACACCACACAGAACAGTTTGTCTATGCTTCTGTGCGTAACTTCCTACCCCTCTCGTGAGGATACAATCCAGGAATACTAAGCCCATGATAACCATCTGGAGGCTGGCAGATCCAGGAGGAGGCAGTGAGAGTTCAAAGCTGTGGCAACCTGTTAAGCCAAATTACCAACTTGCAAGGGAGATGCGGATGTGCCTCTGTCAGGAGGCTGGGGAATCTGATCCCTAGCTTTCTAAGTCAGTGCCAGGGACACGTGTCAGTCTGCCCCTCCATACTCCCTTTCTACCCTTCTCTATTTGGCTCGATCCTGGGAAGCTGACTCACAGGGGCCATACGAAGACTCCATGCCCTGTGGCCTCCCTTGCAGTTTGACCTATGGGGACCCCATTACATCAGGGATGGAGGAAGGTGAAGTTGGGGTATTCGTGCTGCTGACTCCCTTCCCACAGAGTCACCTGGAGCTGGATGCCTCCCCCAACTGCAAGTCTTTGCTCCTCCTAAGGTGTCGCCTTGAAATGACTCTCCTTTCAGGTTCAGGAATTGCTCCCTTTCCCTGTCCCCTCCTGCCTAGGCTGATCACAGCTAGGCTTCTACTGGCCCTTGAGGACTCTGCCACTTTCATATATCCAGTGACTTTCTTGCACCTAGCCCTCACCCTGTAGATCGTCACTTTATTAAACACTCCTGGAATTATTCTAATTTGAGTCGCCATCTGTTTCCTGCTGACCAAAAGTGCCATGTCACTTGGCTGCCACTGTGCAGGCATCAGTCCAAACCAGAAGGGTATTGAGCCTCTGGAGACCCAAGTGCCCAAAGTCACACAACCTCGAGTGGCCTGCAGAGGCGATGCCTGCTACTGTGGGAGAGGGACAAGACACCTGGCCTGGAAAGAGTCGCCTGAAGCCTCTGCATTATGAGATGACCTCCAGGCAGGCACAGTGATCTAGAGGGGCAGACAGTAAATACATTAAGTTTTATGAGCTCTAGAGTTTCTGTTGCAAGTACTCAATCTGCCATGGTGGCTCAAAAGCCACCATAGACAATATAAATGACTGTGACTCTGTGCCAATAAAACTATATTTACATAAATAGACTGTAGGCTGGGGCTCACTGTTGGGAGTTCCCCCCCCCCAAAGACTAACTTTCCTGTCCCTGAGAAGAGCCATCCAATGGTGAGCCCTGCTGGCTCACATGATCCTTACCCACCAATCAGACTAGCCTTGCTGGCTCACATGATTCTTATCCACCAATCAGACTAGCCCTGCTGGCTCATATGATTCTTACCCACCAATCAGACTAGCCCTGCTGACTCACATGATCCTTACCCACCAATCAGAAAGCACCCCATGCCAACTGTCAAACCCTTCAACCGTTAAACTGTCATAACTGTCAAACCACCCCCGGCTCTATAAATATGCAGAGCTGTTCCTCAATAACCAGGCATTTTCTCCAACGACGACAAGGCTTGTTCGATCTTTCATTGGTGCCAAGACCCGGGAGGGGGAATGCCTCGCTGCTCGAGGGCCCCCCTCTCTCAAGGCTTGCCGTCCTCGTCCACTCTTTGGAGCGCTGCTACTACTCACACAACGCTGGCTCTTCAGTAGGTGAGCTCCCTATCAGGTATCCAACTTCAGACGGGCTACACAGGGGCTTTTCACCGTGATCATCTGGCAAACCTCTGACGCCCAATCTGGTGGAGAGAACGCACCCCAGCACGACCTTCACGGTCACAGTGGACTCTCTGGAACCCGGTTCATGAGCGGGAGGTCCTGAGAGGTGGAAGAACAGGCACTCCTCTCTCTCTCTCTCTCTCTCTCTTTCTCTCTCTCTCTCTCTCTTAGCCACCCTTGTCCCTCTCCTGACCTATGGGGGCCTCTTCTTCCCTCCCTGCAGACTCCCCCTTATTAAACTCTGCACACAAGATTGGCCTTACTATCAATTAGACAATCAAAGTCAATGGCCCCCAGGAGGATCCCTAGATCCTGCAATTCTCAGAGAGCTGTTTAATTTCTGCAAACGCTTGAAAAAGTGGAAGGAGTTCCCCTATGTTTGAGGATTTTTCTCTTCTTCATTCTCACCCTGACCTATCTGGCAGATGAATCCACTCCCTACCGACCTCCCCCATCGGCTCCGTCCAGCCCCTTAGGTGCTCCCCCTGACTTGGCTGACACCTTTAGTTCCCCCCAAACTAGGTCCTGCTCCTTAGTCCCACAAACCATGGCCCCCTTAAGAGAGGTTGCTGGACCTGAGGGCATTATCCTGGTACGTATCCTGTTCTCTATGAATGACCTCACGCAACTCGAGCGAAGGTTGGGCTCATTCACCACAGATCCCACCACTTACATAAGAGAGTTTCAGTGGGTCCTCCAGGCGTTAGCCTCACTTATATGTCATTGGCTAATACTCTTCTTCTTGAGGAACATACCAGAGTCTGGGAATTTGCCAGAGCCTATGCAGATGAAACTCACCAAGTTAATCCCAATCACCCTCCGGGGCCACTTGCTGCCCCAGATCAAACTCCCGACTGGGATTATACACAAGCTGACATACAGAGTAGGGACCGATTCTCTGCATGTATTATTGCTGGGCTCAAAAAAGCGGCACATAAGGCTGATAATTTCCAAAAATTACAAGAGACCCCATCGGAATTTCTGGATCGGCTTACGAAAACCCTTCAGCAATAACCTAGATCCCGAAACCCCAGATGGCCGTCATGTCCTTAAGAAATATTTTCTCTTGCAGAGCTACCCCAACATCCGGGCCAAACTAAAAAAGCTCTAACAAGGCCCTGCCACCCCACCCCCCAGACTGAGAAATTTCAGATGCTCGCCCAGGCCCTGCAGGGTGCTTCCTCGGGTCACTGCCCATCACCACAGGTCAACCACCCACACCCGGCACCTGCTTCAAGTGTGGCAAGGAGGGACACTGGGCCAGGGCATGCTCCGCACCACACACTCCATGTACCCCAGGCCCTAAATGTCAACAACAAGATCACTGGGGCTCTGACTATCCTAGATCCCATAGGAAGCCTATGGCCAGGAACCCTCCAACCTTCTGGGCATGGCAATCAAAGATTGATGGAGCCTTGGGTCCTTGTCCCTGGCCATAACGATCAATAGACAGGGACCCAGAGTGCGGATTCAGGTGGATAGGTGCAAGGTTGACTTTCTCCTTGACACTGGAGCTACCTTCTCAGTCCTGACAGAATTCTAGGGGCAAACAGTGCCGTCCACCTCTCCTATTGTCAGGGTAGGAGGAAAGACCATCTATCCAAGAAAGACTCCTCCCCTATTGCCCTGTTCCATAGACA